CTGAATTAGAAATGTCTATGTTCTATAAAAAATTTATTTTATTAATTCTTTTCAAATCTATTTCGATTTTAGAATTTTTTTCGATAAATAATGATCAAAACACCTTGGAGACAGCTAGGTTTTTTTTATGAATAAATTTTCATGTGTTAAGCAAAAGATAATTGTTTCTCTTAGTTTTTTTTATCGAACCATAATTTACGTTATTTATAATATAATAAAATGTATTGTCGTTTATTTTCATACATATCAGAGTTGTCTATTTCTCGTTACACTATCTCGATGTTTCTTGTGCGCGCCAAATATCGCTCGCCCTCGTGCGTAGTGTGCACGCGAAGAACAATGGACAAAAAAAAAAAGAGTAGCCGTGCAGAAACAAATTAGAAGAAAGTCATTTCAATTTGCATGATTTCTATTGAACATTGATTATATTCCAACCTCGATTATTAATATTTTACATTAAAGATTATTTGAAACGATTAATCTATTCATTGGTACAAGTACGAAGTGAGAAAATTTTCATTTTCAATATCCTATATTGTATTACGATTAGCAAGAATATGAAGAAAACAGTAAAAATTGTTGTTGATGTATCCATGTATCCATCTGTCGAATTATTAAGTGAACCTCGAGTAATTGATCATATCTCGAAACAAGTATATGATATTCTAGAGAAAAAAAGACAAAAGGCACGTGATAGTGCAATAATCAAAGCTTGTAAAAATGCTGTCTCTCTTCTTCTATCGAAGAAAAAAGGAATTCCACCAACAATCTTATCCGTTTATTTGCCAATGAATATTATTGAGTCATCTGATGATACAGTTGTACCTAGTGTTTCATCCGATGAAGACATATTGGAAACAGGTGTTGGTGAAGATGATGATAGTATTAATAGCGATCAACTTTCATCATTTAATTCACAAGGTTCACATATTTCTTTTTTTTTATGTAACAATGTAATGACAGTAAATACAACTTTCGAATATCTTTTTGATTATTTTAAACATTCTCTATCAATTAATAATAAACCGATGAATCTTGAAAAGATCCTAACGGATGTATGTAGTTATGCTTTTCTTGAACTTAATTGTTCTGTGAACATTCGCATGTTAAAAAATGAAATAAGCCGTCAAATCAGTCAGATAGTGCAATCAGCACGTATACGTGCTGCCGGTAAAAGTGTTATCGGAGTTCTACGTACAAAAAATATTTTCTCATTTATTTTCAAATCTATCAATTCTCTGAATCGACTTGAACCATCGATGGGATTTATAAGATATAAAAATGATGATTATTTAAGTCCAAGTCTTTTTATTCGAGAAAATAATGATGAAACTGCTATTTTTCAATTTTATCCATTTCCAAATATAGTTGAGATAACCATTAACGAGACATTAGTGAGAAAGGCATTATCTTCGTTTGATATAGTACGAGCATTAGATATTAATGAAATTTCTAGTCTTGTTTCACAATGTGTTGCAACATATGATTTAAAATTAAATTTACCAATTTTTGAAGAAATTCTTAAAACAAAAATATTGCTTGAACGTAGTACGTTAAATTCTAGTTATTTTTTAACTATGTCTGTAAAACTTGCAGAAAAAGAAGATCAAATTGATAAAGTTAATGAACAAAGTCAAATAGATGATTCTCATTCCTTCTGTGAAGAAGAAATAGATGCTATTATTGGTCGAACATACAGCACCCGGGGTGTTAAACGCTCGTATGAAGAAGATCCTATTTGTGTTGAACCCACTAAAAACATACAGAGAAGAAATAAAATAATAAAAGATCAAAGAGATTTATTGCATCTAAAGGATACCTATCATCTAACGGATAGTGCTTTTAATGCTATTTTTAAGTATATTCAAAATAAAAGAAAACTCTGTTCATTAAAATAAATCGAACGATTAAGAAGAAATACAAACTCCAAATTTCCTATTGCATACACTAAGACAAGTGCCTATGTTAAATTTGAATATGCAGTAAGAACTGCTATTTTCGTTGCTCAAAAATATGAGCTAAAGCTCAATCAGGTTGAGAAACTTAATATTCGCTTTAATATGGACGGTACACTCATCGGAAATAAGCACATAGTCGCCATATCCATAAATTGCATTGAAGGTGGTCGTCAATGCCAAACGTCGACACATCTTGTTCCTTTAGCTCTTTTTGAAGTACAAAAGGAGAACACTGAATTATTACGCAAAACTCTGCCTGTAGAATTTATTGCTGATATAAAATCAGTAAAACATATTTCTGTAGGAGAAAAAAATATAGAAATTCATATTCGATTAGGAGGGGATTTGATGAATGCCGTGTACGTGTTTGGACTTAGGGGCTTCAGTTCTAATTATCCCTGCGTCTTTTGCACGCAACATAAAGATGACTTACACATAATTGCAGAGACTGCTTATGATAAAATAACTACTGAGGGAAAGGGTAAAAACAAGAAAACAATTAAAGTTCATATTGGTTCCACTTCTTATCATGATTTCACAAAACGAGCACGATCCCTTACCGAGCAAGAACTTTGTTTAGCTAAAAAGAATAATGATTTAGGATATAAATGCGAACCTCTTTTTGGTGATCTTTTTGATTATCAGGATTATTGCGTGGACACGCTACACATGAAGTTACGAATCTTTGATGTTATTTTAAAAGACATATTGTCTTATGCTTCTCGGACTGGTAAATACGGAGGCGAGCATTCAACAATTATTGGAAAAAAAATTGAAATTCTTAATCAGCATTGTAAGAGAACTATCGGAAATCGTTTTTTCTTTCAAGTAGAAATAGATGATAAAAATAAAATTATTGCTTCACATGGAAAGCTTTCCGGTCATCTTCAAGATCTGTTTTTTGTTGATAGCTTTCCTTACAAAGAAATTCTAGGTGATGAAATTGCAAAATCTGCTCGAAGTGTTGTGAATAAGTTTAAAGAACTTCTTAATGAAGTTAAGCATAATTCTGTAAAACGAAAGGGTCATCTAAAACGTCTATGTCTAGAATTTGTAAAAGAATTTCGTCAAAGTGGTCTTCGTACAACTGTTACTCCGTATATCCATATAATTGGAAATCATTTATTCGAATTCGATGAATTCAATGACCTTGGAGATTACAATATGCAAGGAGTAGAGAAAAATAATGATCGACTCTCTAATATCTATTTTTCATCTACAAATCCCGCTAAAAATCCCCTCCTTACTATGCTTCAGAAACTTTATCGAACGCTCGAGATGAACTTTGAAGAAGAAGCAGAAAGAGATGCAATGGCTGAATTTGCTCGAACAGGTGTATACGATTTCGTTGAAACTGTACATCATTCTAAACCATCACATGACGATGACATTTTCTTTCATAACAAAGAACAACAAAAATTAGATAGTGATGATGAACCTGAAGGGCAATTTGATCGATCTGTAGAAGATGTTGTTGAAGTAGAAGATGAAAGCGACATAGACTTAGATGAATCAATGATTTGGGCACCTGAAAAAAGATTTGAAACTAACTTTTTACGTAGGACTGAAAATCGATTCAAGAGTTTCCGAAGATCATAAGTAAAATGTTAAGCTCAGGATGAAATACATTTATAGTCCTCATGTTTTATTTCCGCATTTTTTATTTACATATTCGTTTTCTTCAAAACGCGTTCGCTGTTGTAAATATATTCTACATTGATAAATGAATTTGTAGAAATTTTTATTGTATAGTATATAATTTTTTACTCTATATTTATAATTAGGCATGTACTTTTGTAAATAATCTTTTCTAGATATGAGTCATTGCTTTGTCAATAATTTATGTACTTTCAGCATATCGTCTTATTGTGATAAAAAATGTGGGCAAAAAGTTCATATTCCTCCTTATCATCCTATTTATGATGGTCATATACATTTGAATCAAGTTGCTACTAAAATTCAATCTGACTTTATTTCTCTTAAAGCAATCCCTCCTATTCGTGAATATCATTTCGTCAATAATAATCACAAACCTAATGAATGGTCGGTTTTGAATTCTTTCCATTTTCCTCCACACGTTCACATATATCCTACCATAGGTATTCACCCAAAATATTTTGATCCACAAGATGTATATAAAATTCTTGATGATCTACAAAATCATTTAGAAATCTCCCATCATATTGCAAATCCTAAAAGTAAAAGCTATTAGCGCAATCCCTTGCGGGATTAAAAATGTGAAACACGATGTAGCTACTGCTTCCAATGTTCTAAAAACTGTTGTTTTCTATGCATATCGACGTACATTTCTTCATCATGCCTAACTTTACATTACAGAGCTTGAACAGGATAATACTACATATATGCTCCAATCATATATTAGCTATGCATTATCTCTGATATTTCCTTGAAGTCTTCTATCACAGTCTATGATGGCTCCTGAAGGCCATCTGTTAGAGTCTATGATAGGATCAAAGCCCTGTCAATCACGGTCTGTGATGGGTTCAAAGCCCTATCTGTCACGGTCTGTGATGGGTCTAGAGCCTGTCTGTTACGGTCTGTGATGGATTCAAAGCCCTGTTTATCACGGTCTGTGGTGGATTCAAAGCCCTGTCTGTCACGGTCTGTGATGGATCCAAAGCCCTGTCTGTCACGGTCTGTGATGGGT